ATATATATTATATAATATATATATATTATTTTATAAATCAAATTAAAATTAAATTAAAATCATATAAATAATAATTATATTTATATAAATAATAATAATAATTAATAAAAAAATAATAATAATAAAAGGTTGGCTGTTACAGTTTTCTTAACAATAAGGAAAAGAAGAAGTTTCTAATGTTGAATCTATTATACATAAACTATATATTTATAATATTAAATCAAAAACGTCATTTTGTTAGTAAAAAAGAGAAAAAAAAAATAAAGTAAATCGGACAAGGTCACCAATAGTGAAAACATATATTAAATATATAGATGAGTCAAGATTAAATGGGGAAGTAGTGTCTTTTAGAAGAAAAAATGAAGTATCATAAACAAGGCACAAAGGGAAAGAAGTAATTTTTAGAGTAGTTACAAATAATTCATACTCTTACCTAAAAGAAAAAGATATTATTTCTTTTGTATTTTATTGTATTATGTTGTCTTAAATAAAATAAAAAAAAAAATTCAATTTAACCATAGTTAATCTCTTACCCACCAACCGCCCCTACGTGTCTTCTCTCACCCAACACAGTTGCCATTTTGACAAATTTTTTACAGCAATATAAAATGTGACCACGTCATCAGCCCATGTGCATAGTTTTAATGAGTTTCAAATGACGACTTATCACGATATCTTGTAGAGAAAATATAAAAGTACATAACTAATATAAATATAAAATTAGTGCAAGTCCTTATTTAAAAAAAATATATAAATTATAGAGGGACTTTCAAGGTATTAATATCTTACAGCAACATAAAAAAACTAACCGCATTATTAGCTATATTTTCATAATTTTAATGAATTTTAAATGACTAATTATTATGATAGCGAATTTGAAGAAGATTTTGAAATTAAGAGTACATAATGACTAAAACATTGATGCACGAGCTTAATTAAAAATAAAATAAAATAAAAGAATATGAATTGTATATAAACTCTCAAAATATTTTATCTTATTTGATATAATTGTATTTTCTGTTGAATAATTTTGATCGATAAAAATATTTTATAAACTCATGTACGATTTGTGTTTTTCTATATAAATTCTTATATTATGTTTTAATCTATTTGAATCATATACATTTAAATTTTTATTAAATTTATCTTTTGACATAATAGTCATTTATTGGTCATTGACTTTTGGAGCACGTAACTATTGATGTGTTGAAATAATATGAATACAATTTTTGACCCCCGTGAATATCACATGACATACACATGTAATATATATATTTTTTATTTTATTTTTCAAAAATAAAAATTGAATATTAAAAAATTAATTTTAAGATAACTTGTATTTCCGCACACCATATACCCTCTTTTTAATTAAAATTAACAATTTTATTGTTCTTCTTTCTCTCTCTCCCCCCGTTTGTGAAATGAAGAATATGAATTCGTCAAAGCCAATTGTAAGATTAATCAAAAGGCTGTCAAATCATCCATGTAAAAGTCTTACCCAATCATCCATGTAAACCTAATCCAAATCAACAAAGCAGCCGATTTTATTAATAAAAAAAAAAATCATCTCAAGGAGAGTTGGAGCTCAAACAAAAGTAAAAGTAAAAGTAAAACTAAAAATTAAAATTTTAAAAAAAATATATATATATATATATTACATGTGTATGTTAAATGTCATCTATGCGACATACACGTCGAATAAAAATTTCTTTCCTATGATAATTTTAATGTATCAGCAGCCACTTGTACGGTGAGTTGATGGCCAATAAACAATCATCAAGTTAAAGTGTAAATCTGATAAAAATTTAAAAAGTGTAAAACTCAAATAGATCAAAAAATAGTATGAGGGTTTAAACAGAAAAATACAAATTATACAAGAGTTTATAATGTATTTCTACAAATTTTCATTTATTAACTCTTCTCATTCTGATTACGTTGGCATGTTTATGGGTTAACGGTCAAACTTTGAAAATAATTGACTTGTAAAAATAAAGTTGAAAGAGTTCTTGAAGGATGGATGGATAAATTAAATTAAAATTTGCTTTATTCTTTACCAAACTGAAAGTAGAAAATAAAACGGATGGAAGAATAAAAAAGAAAAGAGCGAAATGAAAAATTTAAAAGAAGTATATATATGTGCATATATTTTAATCGTTATACACCTCTTAGTACGTAAAATGATAAAAGGTCATTTTCTCTATTAAACAAAAAACATGATGACTAAAATAGAAACGATAGATAATAAAAAAATTTCTGCAATAAAGATCATATTAAACATGTAATGGCACAGTCAGTAGAAAACATTGCAGAATAGGAATCTTACACCTTCTATCCCATTTCATTATAAACTGAGAATCTTTAGTCTAGACCCATTTGCAATAGGATCAATAGCAACTCTAAATTTTCAAATTTTACGGAATTTGTCATGTATTGTAGTTATGACAACTTCCTCTAGCTCTTCTTAATGCGGGCAAAGCATAGGTTCCTTTACTTGATTAGGACATTGTTTTATATTGAAATAAGCTCTCCAACCACTTCTTCCAGCAAAGAAACTATAGCTTGTCGAATTTCAATCAACTGACCATGAACTGATTTGTTGCCTAGTGCATGGCTGAGGAGAATGTGGTTGTGCATCACAAGTGCATTTTACTTGGAGTAAAAAACTGTTCTTTATAGAGAAAAACATTTAAAGAAAGCTGTTAAGAAAGAGACAGAAAAAATAGATAGAAAAAAAGATAGTCAAGAACCACCTAAACAAGGAAAGTCGTCCTATCTCTAGATAACAAAGACAACGGGATGGTTAAAGAGTCCATGCGCCTTGGCCCAAAGACAAGCCGAAGAGGACATTTTATCCCAGAGAACTGAAAATGGAGATACTCATTCCCTGAAGATCGTAATGGTTCCTTTCCGACCAGATCAACCAAAGAAAAGCTTAACCCCTAGAGTAAAAAATTGGTGTAGCTACTAAGTGCGAATGGTTTAAAAACCTATCAGAATTAGGAAAGTCAAGTTTAGAATACTTACAAATAGACCCATTACTCTTAAATGCCTCTACTGTGTTGTCATGCTCTTTGCTACCCTGCTGGACACTGCCCTCTGGTACGAATTCACCCCTGATTTGGCACCAGACATCTCCTTGGAGAGGAGTTTGATAGCATGATCAATTCTTTCTGTTCCTCCTCCCAGGAAGTGTGGTCTTCTTAGCAAAATTTGAGAAAAGCTTCCACTAATGTAAGAATTATCGGAAATCCTCAAGACCACTTGTTCTGATACTGATACCATGTTATGGTCCGGAGCTTAGGATCTCATAACAGGATGAGAAATTTGGAACTAGGGTTTAGGACTTGTTAGTGAAAACCTACCTATCTCAGAGCTAAGCAATCAAAAACTTTGATTAAATTATTTTTTTGCTTAATTTATATTAATGTTGTTTGCATATATGTATATATATGTATATGCATATTAAGGTGGTACTAACTTCCCTTCTTTTTTTCTTAGATCTTAGAGATACTATGGGGTCCTAAATCAGTTTCTTATCACCTTAAAAACAAAAATTCCTAATCTAACTTCCTAAACAGAATACCAACCCAATTATATGTTTTCCTAATTAAGCCAAACGAAAAACTTAAACTAACCTATTCAAGGTAAATCATAATTAAGGTTATTTTCGCAAAGTTGAATTCTTCTTCCTCGGGGTCCCTCCCCGGTAGACTTGTTTTTTCTTTTTTTTTTCTTTACCAGTGATTGGAATCTACCAGAATGTCAAAGTTCAACCACAGTAACTTCACCGCCAATACTAGATATAAAATTACTAGAGGAATGAAGGAGAAAAGAAAGGAAATGAGAAAAAGATGCTTTTTAAAAAATGATGAAAGGCAAAGTGTTTCTTTAGTTTGGATAACTAAAAATTGAAAAGAAAAAGAAAAGATAAGAAAAGAAAAAAAACTGATATAACATTTTGTTCTTTTAGCGTTATAAAATAAATTAAATGACTAGTCATAAAAAAATAATCCATAATACACTTTATTAATAGAATGATAAATTAAATGAATAGATAAGAAGAACAAAAAATTAGAGTTTTAAGAGAAAGATGAAGCTCTCCATTCCCCCCTTCCGTTTAGTAATTATTATTTTTTATCCAAACAAGTGAAAAAACTGAAAAGCATCCCATTTTTTTCTTTCCTCTTCCCTCAACTTCTATCAATCAATCAGCCCAAACATATTGTAATAGAAAAGAATCTGTATGTGTGACTTTTATGTGTATACTGCTTGAATTTTTAACAGCCCAGGAGGAGGTGGCACTAGATTCAATGATCACTAAATCAGGCAACGCGAAAGGAGAAAAAGAATCCAAAATCAAACAAACTTCTTCTCACTCTTAGCAACAGCTCGAGTGGCATGGTCTCCACTGGTATTAGTTACTTGCTTAGCCATAGAAAAGAGACCTCCTACAGAATCAAACTGAATTAGAAGAAGAACAAAATGGATCAACAAGTTTTCTCCGCACTTTTAGGAACTTGGGCGCAAACGAAAATGATGTTCAGCATGAACAATGGGTTCACCTTCTAAACTTCGATTAGTGAAAGAAACTTTCCTCCCACACTAACCTCCAAGCAGTTCAACCTCTAAAGTTTTGATTGCAGAATCAAACACAAACCCAACAATAGGAACGAAATAAAGGGGATAAATGATCAGACAAAAGAAAGAAACTCACAAAATAAACCATCCTGCGAAACCCAAGGCTTTTAGGTAAATAATGCGATCCAATCAGAATTAATCAAATTCAGTAGCTACTAAAATTTCCTTCGGACAAATTCTTTTCCATCGGAGGAAGGTCTAGTTTCGATTTCGTAGCTGATCAGCTTGGTAAAAGCCATGGTTTTTATTTAACAAACAAGCTTAAATGACCGCAGGCACACACAATCTTGAGAATCGAGGTGAAATGATGATTAAACATAACAATCATATTTGTAATTTACAATTGATAGTTACAAATAAAGCAGATTGTGAGACGAAATGTCAATATAAACATACTATTCGTGGCGGCGTTTGGTCTTACGATCATGATTATCGCAGTCGCTATCGTCATCGTCCTCGTCGGAGAAGATGCCTTCATGATTATTGTCGTCGTCGGACGGCGGGGAAGGGTCGAGACGAGCTGCGTCCATAGCCCACTTAATCAGCTTCTCAACTTCATCATCCTCATCTTCATGGTCGTTTCCTGGAACTCGGCCGTCCATTAAGGATGCCCTGGGATCCACGGGAACAGATTGGGAAGAAGAAGGTAAGGATGCCTTGAGTGCGGCAAATCTAGCAGAGAGATCATCATCATCAACGGCTGCGACGTCACCTCTATTCGTCGAAGAAGAGTGCTGAGTCCGTGGTGGGCGGGGAGGAGCAAGGGACGGTCGTGATTTGAGTTCCTGGAATCGACGGAGGAGATCGGGATGGAGGTAATCGGGAGAGATGCGGGATGAGTGGGAATTAACAGAAAGATTGAGCAACAACTCGTCTTGCGCAGCTTCTAGCAGTTGTTCGACTTCTAGGTCACTTGTCTTCTTCCTGCTGCTGCTCATCTTCCGTCTTCGTCTCCTTTTGCTTTTTCAGATTTCCAACAAAACGTCAAGAGTTATATTAAAAAAAAATATATGTATTAATAATATTATTATATTTGTCAAGTAATTTTTTTTATTAAATAAATTTTCACGTAATATTTGATTAAAAAGTGGCTCCAAAAAATTTTAAAACAAATACTGCTAACATCACAATTTATTTTTTATATTTAATAATAAGTTGCACAAACTCAACTATATTGATGTCCTTTAGATATAGAATACATAACTCAATAACTATATTTGATATGGGAACATAATATTAACTTAGTACAAAATGTTGACTATCAATTTTATCAAATTTAAGAGAAAGACTTACAAAAAATTGATTCAAACAATTCGATTAAATATATGAAAATAAATGCAATGTATACAATATATATGTACATAAAAGTTAGGACAAAATAATCTACAAATAACTTACGTAAATTTGAAATTTTATTTCATGTCTTAGCATTTTTCATCTAGATGGACGGTAGAGATCTCCAATACCTAACTTGTCTAAGGCTTTAGTTAATATATCAACAAATTGTGATTTATATTGATGGCAACATAATGAAAAGTACCCTCGTCATCCCTGACTCTCATCATTGATCTCTGTTGGGGACTTGTTTTTAATACTCAAACTCGTAAGAATTTTTGTTCTCATTAGATGATAATAACAAACTTATGTATCAATTTGGTAATATTGTTTATCATATGATAGAAGTTCTTAAATTATTTATTCTTTCTCAAATTATTTTTGTCTTCTGAATGTAATAATCATTATATCAATAATTGAAATTAATGCCCATGATTTTCTTATTTTATTTTTGTTCAAGTGATGTTTTAAAAAAATTATATGTATATTATTGAGAATATATACTATAATATGAGTATCTTCTTGAATAGTTATCACAACTTTTATTCTAAAAAATATTTTACTTGAATTTTTAAAAAATTTATCAATTTTGTTAGAATATCATGATATTAAATTGTATTAATAAGTTAGACATAAACAATCAATATAGCAAAGTACTTGAATATAATTGGTTTTATAAATGTTAATAGATTCTCTTAGGGAGTCTGTTAGTGCATTTGTTAGCAAATCTACCAGCTGATTTTATCAAGATTTGTTGATTTCTTATTATATTAAAAAACACAATTGTGATTTAAAATTTATTAAATTTAATTGTGTAAAAAGACCCGAAATTTAAAGAGAAATAAATTCATAAATTAAATGCGGAATAGATTAATAGAGTTAGAATTTACATTCCTTACACAATAATTTTGAATGCCCAATAGGGATACGAGAATGTCCTTTCTAAAGAACAAACGAAAATTAAAGAAATAAAATGAAAAACGAATAATTAAGCATTTTAGGACAAACTTCACTAGTACTTGAAGAGACTTTTGAAAATAAACTACTCACAACCCTCTTACTGATCAAGATCTAGATCTTAGTCCTCTTGATCTAAAATAGTTAATGAAATAATGAGTTACATTAGCCCAGTAAAAATATTACACTAATCACATATACAAAAAACTAAAGATTGGTAAAAAAATTAGAAAAATTACATTATTTAAATACATTTAAAACTTGAAGACATTTGTTAAATACTTACCATAACGAGTTTTCCAAAGATAACTTATGAAGACTCATATCCATATCAGTTTTTACTTTCATGCATAAGAGAACGAGAAACAATAACTTTCCTTTCTTACTTACTTACTAGTACCTTTAGGGGTCCATATGGGTGTCTTCTCCTACTCGTTAACCTAATATTCAATTTTACAATTGACTGGCCGTCCCCATAGTCTATCTGGTAATGGGCGCCAAACATTTCATCGTCTCGATACTCCGTCCGATATGAGGTGAACCACATCTCCCAAACCTTCATGATAAGAACTTTCTAACCCCGTCCGACTGAGGTAATGTTTACGGTAAAGTTCCTTATGTATCAGGCTCATCCGCCCTTTCCCTGGGTAACCAGCAAGTCTTTCACATACAGATTTTCATCAATAAATAACCAACAAACTCATACCAATATCTTACATCACATTCACATATCAATTAAACTACATTCATGCTGACGGTATATAACCAAAATAACTACATAAGTTGATAAGACTATTAAACAAAAAATTAAGAACATATACGATACGAAAATCAAGCAAGTAGAACAGTACATAAAATAAACAGAAAATCAAGACAATTGTGAACTAACCGATTCTGGTTCTATTAGTGACCTGTAATTATTTTTAGATTTTTTTAATTTTTCACAAAAATACAAAATTATACATTGTTAAGCCTTAATTTACCTTAACGGAGAATAGAGTGAGGGATCCTTATCCGGATAGGTGTTTTGAGACATCGAGCTGTCTACTATGCCTCTTAACGGGTACCGGTTCTCCGAATTTATTATGTGGAATTCAAAACACTCGTCACATACCTACAAATACCCCAAAAATCTAAAATCGGTATCTAAACTCATTATGGCCAATTTTGGAGTTCCAACACGACGGCCCACCGTGCTCCGGCCCCAGCTCTGCTGTTCATGGCGACAATTCACCTCAACCGAACCCGTTTTGGCCGGTTATAACTGTATCCCTGCAGAAAACCACATTAGGGGCCTCGGTTAGCCGGGAAATCACAAAAAAAGGCAAACCTACCGGGGGGGACCTCTGAGTGTGGCGGTTCCGTCAATCCTCCTTCGCAGTTGAGGTTCTTTCTTCAGCTACCTGCACAGAAAATGACGCTGAACACAATAATCGAAAAATCATGTCAAATGGGAATTGAGAAGGGGCTCATCGGAGGGATTTTAGGATTTTAGCAGCAGCGGCTCCGTCGGACTTTATCCACGGTTTTTGACTCACCTAATGTCCCTTTTGCTTTGATTTGGCCACAGGGGTACTCGGAATCGAATTTCGAGTGGGTAGAGGAGTTTTTACCTTTTTTGGTGGTCGGTGGTGGCTCCGTTGCGACGGCGGTCGGCGGTTGACCTCCTTCTCCAGTGTCTAGTTCTTCTTCTCTAGCGGGGGCTGGCGACTGGAGTTTAGATTCTCGTCCGTCCGATCATGCCTAATAAAGAAACGGATCCAGATCATCTACACGCACGAAATCGATCCTGAATTGTCCGATCACGGAGCACGCGAATCGTCAGCGTGGCCTCCCGCGTGATGTCGACGTCAATGCGCTTTGCCACATGGCGCACTTTGGTTTGTTGAGGCTACTGACTAGGCAGTTTTACATGGCCAAACTTTTTTTATTTGTATTTTGACCTCCTGTTTCTAATTTTTCTTTCAAAAATTCCCCAAGAACCTAAATGTTTACCTTTTTTTTCAAAATTATTTTTAATCTCATCTCTAATTCATTTTTTAAAAAATTTCACTTAAATAAAAATAAAATAAAGTAAGCAATTATTTTAAATTTATAATTAAATAATGAAAAATTTATCTCAGGTCATTTTTCAAGATCGAGTATTACAATTGTCCCCCCTTAAGAAAAGTTTGTTCCTCAAATTGGTCATTCTCTCACTCAGTCGAATAGTTGGGGGGTACTGGGCCCTGAAACTTGATTCCAGTTCCCTAGTGGCCTCTTCCTGCATATGTTTCTACTATAGGACCTTGATTAATGAAATTTCTCTATTGCGGAGTACTCTAATCTTCCCGTCTACAATGTCTATTTGTACCTCTTCATATGATAGATTCTCTTGGAGTAAAAGAAGCTCGTGGGACAGGATGTGTGAAGGGTCTGGGTTGTACTTGCATAGCATAGATATATGGAACACATTATGAACCCTAAATAGTTCTGGAGGTAATACCAGTCTGTAGGTAGTCATACCAATCTACCCTAAGATCTCAAATTGTCCAATCAAATAGGGATTTAATTTTTTCCTCTTTCCAAACCTACAGATTCCTTTGAAAGGAGTGACCTTAAGAAATACTCGGTCACCTTTCTCAAATTCCAAATCCTTCATCTGAGAGTCCATAACTTTTCTGTCTACTCTGAGCTATCTGAATGTTCTTTTTGATCTTAACTATCTTGGCTGTAGTCTCCTCCATAAGATTTGGGCCGAATAATTTTCTATCACCCACCTCTTTCCAACAGATCTACGATATGCATAGACGACCATACAATGCCTCGTATGAAACCATGTCGATATTTGTCTGGTAGTTATTATTGTAGATAAACTCTATCAGAGGTAGGTGATATTCTCAATAGCCCCCGAAGTGTAGAATACAAACTCAGAGCATATCCTCTAGTGTGCGAATCGTTATCTCTGATTGTCCATCGGTTTGATGGTGGAATGCGGTGCTAAGGGATGGTTTCGTTCTCATTACTTGCTGAAAACTATACCAAAATCGAGAAGTGAACCAGTTCTCTATTGGATACCACTGACACTAGAACTCCATGTAACCTGACTGTCTCTTGGATATACATTATTGCTACCTTGTCCAAGGGATCAGCCATCTTGATAGTTAAAAAGTGAGAAAGTTTGGTGAGCTGGTCGACAATTATCCAAATGACATCATATCTTGAACGTGCCATAGATAACCCTGTTACAAAATCTATTGTGATATGTTCTCACTTCCACTCCGGGATCTATAATGGCTGAAGTAACCCGCCTAGACGTTGATGCTCTGTCTTAACCTGTTGATATACTAGATACTTGTAAACAAATTCGACTACCTCTCTTTTCGTTATGCTTCACCAAAACCGGAGTCACATACTTTGATACATTTTAGTACTTTCAGGATGTATGGTGAATTTGAAGTTGTGAACCTTTATCATGATGTTCCTTTTTAGTTCATTGTAATTTGGAATATACACCCTGTCCTGAAAACTGAGCAATCCATTGATAGAGACTCGAAATTCTAGACGTACTCCCTGTTTTGCATCTTTCTTAAAGACAACTATGATGGAATCGGTTAATTGAGCTTCTCTTATTCTCTAGATTACTTTGGATTGAACAGCCAGGTGGGCCAAGCATATAACTCTCTTTAAGTCTTAAAGTC